TATTATTATTAAGATTATTATTCTCATGATCACATATTATGCCCGGTTTCTTCCAGTGCTGACCGTCCTTCGATGACACCACGTCAGGTCTGGGGCAGACGACAGTGCTGACGTCATCATGAAAGCCGTGCGCGGCCTGTTCCGCCAGGTGGCCATCACGTGCCTGTGCCTGGGAGATTTCGCGCGCTTACTGTGTCTCCAGGCCGGAAAGTGCAAGGCCAAGATCGTGGGCCTGTTCGCGCTCGTCTGTGTGATCTTTGCCTGGAAGAAGCTCTTTGAGGGGCCCGCACAGGTGATGATTGATCTGTCCCCGGGTTTTTATTCACCCAGCATAATTTAGCAAATTTTCAAAAAAATGTTTAACTTTTTTTTTGCACACACGTAATTTCTGATTATTTTCCTTTATCATTCTTAGTCAGAATTAACAGAATCGCATAATTTCACATTTTTGGGCTCAGTTTGCTTATGTATGTATGTGTATAGTATAAGGTTTTACGAAGCTCGCAACTGCTAAGGTCATATGAGCGCGCTCAGTTTGCTTAATTTCAGAATTTTTCTATAATAAAATAAAACGACGGGGACAGAATGAGAATAGACAGAACTTGTGTCGTGATGTGTGGAATCAGGCGCTGCTCAATTTTGGGGCCTGTAGCATTATTGGTATCATCTTATAGCTTGTTCAGTTGTCTTGCTATCGAGGGGGAAATACCCATCTGTCTTGAATAAAAGTCGAGATATAAGAGATTGAAGAAGGTGGGGTTGCCTTTGTTTCAGAGGTAAAACTAGCGAGAAAATGGCCGTCAAAGTTTCCTAACTTCTATAGCTTGAGAGACCCTACATACTTACTTTTACTTTTTCATCCTCTGTTGCCGTTAAGCGTCGAGGGGAGATGCAGTTTTCTATGGTAGGCCAGCTCCTCAGCTCTTTCAGTTGTGATGTTATGTTTTCTTAGGGTTTCCTTGACACCCTCGATCCACTTTATAGCCTGAGTGCTTGGTGTTGTAGGCTCTCGAGGCTGGCTGGTCAGGTGACATAATATGTAACAGGTGGCCAAACCATTTTATCCTCTGTCTTGCTATGTCTCCTTTGATTGTTTCGTAGCAGTAATTCTCCGCCGTCCACTTGCTAGGCCAGTCACGGTTTCACCAGAGCCCCTTTAGCCAGCAACGTTTCGGGGTGACCCGGGTTGGCCTTCACGGCAAGCGTAACGCCTTGGAAACTAAAAATTCCATTTTTAGGTGCTTTTAACCAATGTTTTTTAAAAGTAAAATCCACATAGAAAAGTGTTTTTAAGTTAATATTAATGTAAAAGGTGTAGAGTCAATAAATGGAAATGAAAAAAACTGCCAGAAGGCACCTTTTTTCCCCACGATGCCTTACATTAGTACTGCGCGAATCCCCGCTGAACAGCAAGCTCTATGCTCTTCACAATCTATGTACTATACTATTACCCCAGCAGACCTGAGAGCATTCTGAAACAACCTCGACTTCCTGGGAAGCATACAAAGCCAGCAGCCATTTATAGGCGCTAAAACATACTGACAGTAACATATTAACAAGATCGTTCGCTGTCTAAGGCCGGGTACCCATTCCCACCTTGGTGAAGTGAGGAAAATTCGCGTAAAGTGCCTTTCCCAAGGACACAACGTCGGGCCCGAGGCTCGAACCCCCGAACCAGCAACCTCACGACTACGAGTCCGGTAGCCTAACCACTAGGCCACGACGTCACAAGTAGTATGTGCAAAGATTGTTTGCTCCTCTAGTAGAAAATCTTTGGTGTTTTACAGATGGATTTTTTTTTCTCTACAAGGGTATCTTTGGTGTGTGTTACAGAAATATGTTTTTCCTCACGTTGAGAATCTTTGGTGTGTGATACAGAAAGATTCTTGTCTTCTCAAGTATAGAATCTTTGGTGTGTGTTACAGAAAGATTCTTGTCTTCTCAAGTATAGAATCTTTGGTGTGTGTTACAGAAAGATTCTTGTCTTCTCAAGTATAGAATCTTTGGTGTGTGTTACAGAAAGATTCTTTTCTTCTCAAGTATAGAATCTTTGGTGTGTGTTACAGAAAGATTTTTGTCTTCTCTAGTAAAATCTTTGATGCATGTTATAGAAAGATGATTTTTCCCTCTACCAGAGAGTCTTTGGTTTGTGTTACTGATATATTTTTTCTCTACTAGGGTATCTTTGGTGTGTGTTACAGAACAGACGAGCGGTTGATTTCCCCGCCCTGCCTCACATTCTCTTTTGTCTTTCTCCCTTCCTCAGATGGGCGTGTATTTCCCCCACGCTGTGGTCATGAGAAGCTCACCCGCTTCATCAGCCCCACGGTCCAGCATTTTCTCCATGACGGCAGGGGGCACCATGTATCTCTACTCCGCCATCGCCAACGACCGCTACCCTCTGGACGGAGAGACCAACGTCATCATCACGGGGCTGAGCCGAGACGGCCTCCCGAGCCACTGCTGCGTTGTTCTGGACAACACCACCATCTACACGTCACTTCCGGAGGAGTTCGAAACTAACCGACGCGCCAGATTCTCCGAACTTCCGGTTGTCCGTGACATCGCGTGGTACTTCCTGGAGGAGCCCTCCCGCGCCGTGCAGGTCACGTGCGCAGTTCCCAACACGGGACACCGCGCGACACACGCCACGCTGTCCTTTAGCGCGTGCTCACAAGACACGTCCGGCTACCTGCCCGTACAAAGGCCCTCCGCGCCTGAAGGAAGCATGGCGGTCTGCGCTAAAATCGCCCACGGCAACGGCCTTGACCCGGAAAAGGTCATAGAGTGGTTTGAGCTGCAGATGCTGCTGGGTGTGAGCAAAGTTCTCATGTACGATCTCGGGGTTACAGACCCGGTGAAGCGTGTTCTCAACTATTACCAACGGCTGGGATTCTTGGACTTACAGCCCTACGAGCTGGTCGGCCCTCCACGGAATCGAAGTCTGTCGGAAAAGTTTAAGAGGATGCCCCAATTTAGCCATGACGAGACGCTGAGCGTGTACGACTGTCGTCAGAGACTGATGGACTACACGTTTGTCCTCGGCCATGACCTTGACGAGCTGGTCATTCCCAGACAGGATGTGACCTTGCCAGAGTTTTTCAAGGTCAGCAGTTCTGATCGAATTGTCTTGTTTTGTTTCTTTTTGAAGTTTTTTAAAGTTTAGTTTTGTTTTGCTTTGGACTTATGTTTTATTCTGCTTTGTTTCATTTTGTTTTCAATGTATTAATGTTTTCAATTTTGTTGTTGTTATAATTTTTATTTTTATTTCTTTCTTTTTGGAGGGAGGGGAGGTGAGGGAGGGGGACTTTTTGTTTCATTTATTATTGTTGCCGTCAATGTAAGCAACATTTACAAAGGCTAATAAGTACAGTCGAACCTGCTCAATCGACCACCTGCCTAAGACAGTCACCTGTACTAACAGCCACTTACGACACGACCTTATCCTGTCCCCGTCGTTTTATGCAAGAAAAATTATGAAATTATGCAAACTGAGCCCAAAAATGTGAAATTATGCGATTCTGTTAATTCTAACAAAGAATGATAAAGGAAAAAAATCAGAAATTATGCAACAAATTGTCAAATTTTGCTAAATTATGCGGGGCCCGGTGCATAAAACCCCGGGGAGAGCTTACCTTTTCAGACTCTCGGCCACTTACTATCCCGTCAGGTAGGGATCGGACGACAGAACGATTAGTACCGTACCAGTTAGAAGTGGCATCGAATGTAAGCTGGTCAAAGCATGTGGCGGAAAAAACCTGATGTTGAGATAATTTTTTTTAGCTTAGTTTTGGTAAAGTTTTACGGAAATTGCAACACAATAAGGTCATATAAGTGCCGAAGATTAGAGTTGTTACAAGAGAGAAACAAACACAAAATAGAAGGGTGGGAGAAAAGGACGACAGGCGTTTGATAGGGAAGAAGGAGCAAACCACACCAGAGCATCGGCCAACCACCCACGATATTGAGAAAGAATTGTTTTGTTTGTGTCGCGTCTTTCAAACTTGGCAAAATAGATTGTAACAAAGGGGCCGGGGTGG